GGGTGTCCTGCAGGAGAGAGCGGCTTCCCCACGCTTGGTGCCAGCAGCAGTGAGCAAAACCCTTCCAGTCCTTCAAGCCTGCATGCCCTGTGCTTCGCACCGCACCACACCACCCCCCAAGCTGTGCCAGGCTCCCGGCTGGGGGTGAAGGGGGACACGGGGGGGGACGTGGGGAGGGGGATTCCCATCTCTCAGCGGGAAGCCAACGGGCCCCAGGGCTGGCAGAGAGCGCCTGGATCCCCTCCACCGCTGCTTGGCTGAGCTCCCTCCACGGCAGCGCGGTCGGCTGCTTGGCCTGTCCTTGAGATGAAAAATGCAGTCGCAGGTTTAATTAAAATGAGAGGGAACGCTGAGCCGCCCCAGCAGCCCGGAGAGGCGGAATCCAGCAGAGCCGGTGCATGGCTCCTCCGGGCTTCCCTGCGCAGCATTGCCAGCTAAAACCCCTGCCTGCCTCTGCCAGGACCCTCAGGGGTCCAGACCTGCATGTGCCACCCCATGGTGTCTGCCGTGGGGCAGGCCAAGGGCTGCACAGCTGCTTGCAAGGGGAACGCACATCCCACCATGTACTCACTAGGCTCTGTTATTGTAGGGTCTACACAAACTTGGCAAGCAGTCGGTTTGCACTTCACCACTACAGCAGTGAGCCGGGGCATGAGGGAGGGGTAAGGATGCTGCATGGAGAGCTGACATCTCCATGAAATTGGGGTGCAGTTGTGCAGGACCGCCTGCCCTGGTGCACATGCCAGGGTGGCGTGAGCCCTGTGCTCGGTGTGTGCCGCGCTCCAACGTGTTGCTGATGTGAAAGCTAAAGCTGAGCTCCTTGTTCTCTGGTGGCTGCTACTGCCAGAGGATGCAACTGGACTTGCTGAAGTGAGTAACGTTTTTGATTAGAAAATTAATCTCTAATCAGCCACCTGGCTAGACCAGATAGGGCATTTTGCCTGGCAGAGAAAGGGTGGAGGTGCAGGTCCCCCAGCCCCCTTGCAGTGACCGGGGCTCCTGCCCAGCCACCCCAGGCTGCCCAGCACACATCTGCACCAGCCTGGCTCCCCACAGCCATCGTCCCCCTCAAGGCCCAGGGATGCAGGCAGGAAAGCCCTGAATGCACCACCGCTGCTGTGGCCCTCGCCAGCTCACCCCTCCTTCTGCTCTGCCCACCCCATCCCTGCTGTCCCCTCC